AGGCAAAGGTGAGCTTGTATTTCTCAACAATCCTTTGAAGGTTAGTTTGGGGCCGGAAAATCCGTATAGAATGAACCAACGTAGAAGGACAAAAGTACCCTTTAAGTTTTCAAATGTGGTTCTTGAGATCGGAATGTTTGCTAGCCGGGATAATTTCCTTGTTGGTTGGAGAGGGCCTGCTTCCGGGGTTGACTTTCTTATTGACCCGTTTGATTATAGCTGTAAGTTTCTTTTCACTAAAGATAACGCTTTCTCTTTTAAGGGGACGAAGAATCATGCAGTGATAAAATGCAATTTTAAGGTTGAGTTTTTGGCGAGAGAAGTTAACGACATTAAAGATTGCTTGCAGTCGCATAGGGTTTTGATTTTTCAGTTGGTATCGGCTCCTCTTATTAGCTATAGAACGGCTGATGATGATATCGCTATCACACATTCGTCAGAAATGTTGGATGATGTTGATCCATGGATCCGGACCACCGATTTTACGCCAAGTGGGGCTATTGGGAGATGCCATACTTATCGCGTTTTGATCCGGAGTCGAGATGTACGGAAGGCAAAAAAAGCTTTAGCTTTTTTTAGAGAACAAAGTGTCCCTATCGATCAATTAAGAACAAAGCCTAAGGTACAGAATGAACCAGAATTCGGGATTCCATTGCGATATCCGTTTTTTTGTATTCAATACGAAGACGATATATCCTTTAGAGTTTTGTTCTTGGTTAACGCATGTTTGCACAGAGGCATCATCAACCAGCACCAATTCTCGGAAAAAGTTTTCGATCTGTTGAGAGATCAATCTGTGGAGGTTAATGTGGCTGCCCTGAAGCATATATGTTCACATCGTCACCCTCTATATGATGGGTTTACTCGATTGAAAATCGTTCAAGAATGGCTACTGAATAATCCAATGCTTATTGAGAAAAAAATAGAGCAAAAAGACATAACCGAAGTTCGGAGATTGGTCATTACGCCAAGCAAAGCCTATTGTCTACCACCAGAAGTTGAGCTATCTAATCGTGTTCTTCGGCATTATCGAAAAGTTTCTATGTGATGAAATCGGATAGTGATTAACGGGTTTAAGAGTTTTAAGAGTTTTAAGAGTTTTTAAGAGTTTTAGTCAAATGCTTTATAATATAGTATAGATATAGATATAGATTATTGATCTAACATTTTTGCTGTTGGTTGATTGATATAATTTTTTTTGTTTTTGATGTTATATTTTGTGGGCAAGTTTTATGTGTGGAAAATCCATGTTATTACGTGGTGGGTATGTTTGTTGGTGTTAAGTGTTCTCCAAATACGTACTAAATTTCATTAAAAGTTGATGATATTGGTAGTATCTAATTCATTTGTGTAAATTAATTAACACGGATCTTGGTTTTCGATAGATTTTTTATAAGCAAGGAGATACTATTTGCATTGTATATTGATTTAGTTGAGTGGATATCTTTCTCGAGATCATGAATGAGCGATAGTTTCCAATGTTGAAAGTTTTGGCTTTTGGATGATGTTCTTTTTACCATCTTGTTCTTACTCCTTATGCACTTAGATATAACTTTGCTTATGAAACCCCAAAGGGTGACTTTGATTTAGGAGGTCTTAAGTTTGGATACTGCAGTTGCTATCAACTCTTTAGGGGCCCATGTCTCTTGGCTGGAAGGTCTAATTGCACACAAATCGTGTGGAGAGGGATCTTTGTGCAATTAGGTCTTTTGGCCAAGGGACAAGATATCTAATGAGTTGATAGCAACTAAATATCTCGATTCCAGACCTAAGACCTTCTTAATCAAAGTCACCCTTAGAGGTTTCTTGAGCATAGTTATATCAAAGTGCATAAAGAGTGATAGCAAGATGGCAAAAAGACCATAAGCCAAAACTTTTAACATTGCAAATGATCAAGAGAAAGATCTCCACCCAACTAAACCAAGATACAATCCAAATAGCATCTCATTCTTATAGAACGTCTATTGAAAATCAAAATTCATGTTTATCAATTTACACAAGATGACTTAGATATTACCAATAAAATCAATTTCTAATGAAATCTAGAACGTATTTGGAGAACAATTAACACCAAAAACATACCCATGATGCAATAACATTGGATTTTCCACACACAAAACTTGCCCATAAATATATCAACAGCAAAAAAAGTTATATTAACCAACCAACAACAAAAATGTTAGATCAACAATGCAATATAAAAGCAAAAACCAGTAGWAGATATTTCAGTAGCTAATGATCAGCAAAATGTTATATCAACACTTCACAGCAACAGCATAACCATGGACAAGGAAAATACGTCAAAACCAATAACAATGAACTAGAAGAAAGAACAGTAGCTATGGACCTGTTTGATTATCACTTCTCGAGTCCATTTTTCATTTCTATTTTCAGGATAGAAGGATACGGGACCTACTTATGAAGATGAAAAAAATGGAGGAACAATCGATGTTGAATTAACCGATGCTAGTTTGGTGTAAAGTRCTTGCAGGTTTGATGTTGAAGTAGCAGTTTGATCATAAAAAGAAGTTGGTTCTCATAAAATTCAGAACTTCTAGAAATATCTTCAACGAAAGATGGAAGCAGAGAGAAGCGATAAGGATATGGAAATCACACAGGTTAGTGTAGGCGGTTTTGGCGATCACGTTAAGGCCAAGATGCTTTTGGATTACTTRGAAGAAACCGTCGGGCGAGTYTGGAGGTGTCGAGTAAAAGCTTCMTCAACTCCTCCMGACACGTATCCTGMATTTGATGCCRACCTCGAGAACATACAAAAAGTCGATGATTAYGAGAAGGTTGAACCCCATGCATTTGTGCATTTCGTGGATYCTGATTCGGTCAATTCAGYTTTAGAAATCGAAGGCAAAGGTGAGCTTGTATTTCTCAACAATCCTTTGAAGGTTAGTTTGGGGCCGGAAAATCCGTATAGAATGAACCAACGTAGAAGGACAAAAGWACCCTTTAAGTTWTCAAATGTGGTTCTTGAGATYGGRATGTTTGCTAGCCGGGATAATTTCCTTGTTGGTTGGAGAGGGCCTGMTTCCGGGGTTGACTTTCTTATTGACCCGTTTGATTATAGCTGTAAGTTTCTTTTCACTAAAGATARYGCTTTCTCTTTTAAGGGGACGAAGAATCATGCAGTGATAAAATGCAATTTTAAGGTYGAGTTTTTGGCGAGAGAAGTTAACRACATTAAAGATTGCTTGCAGTCRCATAKGGTTTTGATTTTTCAGTTGGTATCGGCTCCTCTTATTAGCTATAGAACGGCTGATGATGATATCGCTATCACACATYCGTCAGAAATGTTGGATGATGWTGATCCATGGATCCGGACCACYGATTTTACGCCAAGTGGGGCTATTGGGAGATGCCATACTTATCGCGTTTTGATCCGGAKTCGAGATGTACSGAAGGCAAAAAAAGCTTTAGCTTTYYTTAGAGAACAAAGTGTCCCTATCGATCAATTWAGAACAAAGCYTAAGGTACAGAATGAACCAGAATTCGGGATTCCATTGCGAKATCCSTTTTTTTGTATTCAATACGAAGACGATATATCCTTTARAGTTTTGTTCTTGGTTAACGCRTGTTTGCACAGAGGCATCATCAACCAGCACCAATTCTCGGAAAAAGTTTTCGATCTGTTGAGAGATCAATCTGWGGAGGTTAATGTGGCTGCCCTGAAGCATATATGTTCAYATCGTCACCCTCTATATGAYGGGTTTACTCGATTGAAAATCGTTCAAGAATGGCTACTGAATAATCCAATGCTTATTGAGAAAAAAATAGAGCAAAAAGACATAACCGAAGTTCGGAGATTGGTCATTACGCCAAGCAAAGCCTATTGTCTACCACCAGAAGTTGAGCTATCTAATCGTGTTCTTCGGCATTATCGAAAAGTTTCTGACAGGTTTTTACGAGTTACGTTTATGGATGAAGGTATGAGGACTTTAAACAACCATGTTCTCAACTTTTACCCGGCTCKCATCGTTAAAGGTTCTATTGCACAGAAAACAACTATGTTTAGAAGGGTGARGAACATTTTGAGTGAAGGGTTTTATTTATGCGGCCGTCRATACCGTTTCTTGGCTTTCTCGGCRAACCAATTGAGGGATCGATCTGCTTGGTTTTTTGCTGAAAACRRGAAGATTTCATGCAGASATATAAMAGCATGGATGGGGAAATTCAGTAACAGGAATGTAGCTAAATGTGCTGCTAGAATGGGGCAGTGCTTCTCATCGACATATGCGACTGTCGAGGTCCCGAGAACCGAGGTTGATTTGRACCTTRARGACATCAAGAGGAATGGYTAYGTGTTCTCGGATGGGATCGGGAAAATGTCACCGGAACTTGCACTTGAAGTTGCYGAAAAGTTGCAGTTGAAAGACAATCAGCCGTGTGCGTATCAGATCAGATACGCGGGTTGTAAGGGAGTCATCGTGTGGTGGCCTGGAAAAAAGGGGGACAATATCAAGCTTTCATTAAGGCCGAGCATGAATAARTTYGAGTCTGMTCATACGGTTCTTGAAATATGTTCTTGGACACGGTTRCAGCCCGGTTTCTTGAATCGTCAGATAATAACGCTACTCTCCGCTTTGAATGTTGGAGACGATATCTTTTGGGAAATGCAGACGAAAATGGTGAGAAATCTGRACCAAATGCTCGAGGACACGGATATGGCATTTGACGTGATCACAACATCGTGTGCCGAAARTGGGAGTWCAGCTTCGATAATGTTGGCTGCCGGTTTCAAGCCGACAACCGAACCACACCTTCGCGSCATGTTGAGTAGCATCCGAGTTGCACAGCTCGAAGATTTACGTGARAAATCTCGAATCTTTGTKCCCGAAGGAAGGTGGTTGATGGGTTGTTTGGATGAATTAGGTGTTCTTGAACAAGGCCAGTGCTATATTCAAGTATCAAACCCGTCGGTCGAGAACTGTTTTGTGAAACATGGGTCGAGATTTTCTGAAACAAAACGAAATTTGACAGTTATCAAGGGTACTGTGGTCATTGCAAAGAATCCGTGTCTTCATCCTGGTGATGTTCGAGTTTTAGAGGCTGTAGATGTCCCTGGTCTAGAACATCTGTTTGATTGTTTGATTTTTCCGCAGAAAGGAGACCGGCCACACACCGATGAAGCTTCCGGAAGTGATCTCGATGGCGATCTCTATTTCGTTACATGGGATRAAAATCTTATACCACCTAGCAAACAGAGCTGGCCGCCGATGGAATACACTGCTGCCGAAGCCAAACTTTTACCACGCGATGTTAAACACTCGGYAACTTTCTTATCTCTCTYGATTCAATATTTATATAYTGGGTTTGTTTGGTTTGATCTGGTTCCGATCTTTCAAGAAAATTAAACGTAAAYTATTACTTTTTTATCCCAACAGGACATAATAGATTTTTTCACCAAGAACATGGTTAAYGACAGTCTTGGAACGATTTGCAACGCACACGTAGTCCATGCCGATATGAGTGATGACGGAGCTCTAGAAAAAAAATGCATCAAACTGGCGGAACTAGCGGCTACCGCCGTTGATTTCCCGAAAACCGGCAAGATCGTGAACATGCCGCCTGCTCTTAGACCGAAGCTTTACCCGGATTTCATGGGMAAAGAAAGTTTCCAAAGCTACAAATCGAAGAAAATACTCGGGAAACTTTATCGCCATGTCAAAGATTGTCGCGCCACAGATGTCACGCCATCTTCCGAACTTCTAATCCTCCCTTCCMACATACCGTATGACGAAGATCTTGAGGTTCGTGAGGCTGCTAGCTTTGTAAATGATGCTTGGGGCTGTAAGTTGTCGTACGATCGACGACTAAACGGGCTTCTCGGACAGTATAAGGTGGCCCGAGAAGAAGAGATTGTCACGGGTCATATTTGGTCAATGCCGAAACATGCTAGCAAGAAGCAAGGTGAACTTAAAGAAAGGATCAAACATGCGTACAGTGCGTTGAGGAAGGAGTTCCGGAAGGTGTTYGACTATCTGGGTCCTGATTTTGACCAGATTCCGGAAGAAGAAAGAAACGAGAGGTACGAGCGAAAGGCGTCTGCTTGGTACCAGGTTACGTACCATCCGATTTGGGTAAGGAAATCACTGGCTTTGCAAGAACCTGGCCGGGAGGGCGAAACGGTAAATTTGAGCTTTGCRTGGATCGCAGCTGATTATCTTGCCCGAATCAAAATCAAGCGACGGGGAGCTGGAGACGGGAGATCCCAGAAACCGATTGATTCACTTGGTCGGTACCTTGCTGATCGGATGTGATCGTTTATGGCTGCATGGCTACTCTTGTTACTTCTTAGACCTTTTTTTTTATTCATGTATCATTTTGGCTGAGTGGAGAAGTCACTATCTATTTCATCAAGCCATAATCGAACAACCTTGTATAAGTTATCAAATAATAGCTTGTTTGTTAAAAGCTTAACGGGTTTAATGAGACTCATTGTTTGGTAGTGGTTTATTTTGTAATCTTAAGGAACTTTATAAAGAAAGCCAAGTTTTTCCAAATCTTTCATTGCAATTAAAAACACACTTATTTCATCTATGAAAAAGCTCTTCTAAACGAAAATCTTCTCAATTCGTATAAACAGATTAATCCATATAGTCAGCTTTATTTACAGAGCTTAATGAAAAATCATTCAAACACCCCTTAAATCATACATCCATACTGATTATTAAGTCATTAACCAACAACTCTTTTTTGATCATACATCCATACTTAATGAGTTGACTCAGTCTTGGATCAACGGTTAACCAAGATGACCCAATGGGAAGGCAACCACCAACAACAATCATCAATGTGATGTTAAGTTAATATTTGTAACAGATAATATTTTTTTCTAAATAATAAAAAATACTTTTTTTTAACACCATAAAAACATTAAAAAATAATTATTGTCATCCATACTTTATAAAATAATAAAATCATTATATATGTTTTTTACAAAGTGAAAAAAAAGGAAATTTCATCGAAAAAATAAATAAAACATTGGGTGGCCGCCTTTTTTTACATTTGTTTGCATTTATTGATGTAGTTGTTGCCTGGTTGGTTGGTAGGTAAGTTATCTCCTCAAACTATCCCAATCAACACTCACCACGTGTAATTTCTTTTACTTCAATAAACCAATTAAAACCGAAATTAATACAAATAACGATTTTCAGAAATTGATTTCATCTTTTATTTATTTTTTTCTAAATTTTTCAGAAAGTCATTACCTTCACAATCTATTCAATTTACAAAGGGGGTAAAAACATTAAAAAAAAAGAAAAAAAGAAAAAAAAAAGGTTTTTGAACGTGGTTCCTAAGTATGGGGGCCAAATTAATAAATTAGCCTTTGCCCAAACTAATTACGGATTGGGCCTGTATTTGCAGACTAATTACACTTTTTCATAGAATAATATAGAGAATTTGTTAGAACAGAATAAAGAATAAAAACTTCATTTCTATATTTTAAAGAATCTATTTAGAAATGTTTTTACATATGTACATACTTTAATTAGGCTTTCACTCATATAATGTTCAAATTCATAAAATTTAACTTATTATGATGGAATTTCACTTCTTTATACAAGTACATTTTAGCAATTAATAATATTTTTTTCATATGAYATAWAYATTTCCAGTTTTGACTATTGGAATCTRAAACTAGTACGAAATCGGCTATTGAACACATTATASAACTTAAACCATATACGTYGATTAYCCATGTAACAAATTTAGCAATAATAATGTCCGATCACCATTTGCACTTTTTGTTAGGAAGAATATTCGCTATGATTCATATAGGTTGCTTTTATATTGATATAATCTAATTAAATTT